ATTATCGTTATTGAAATCATGCGGTCGTGATAACACTGTATATTTGAATACATTATATTTTATTCAACTGTCTGCATTGGAAAAAATATTTCTTGATTATAAAGTCTCTGATGGAAAGTTTTCAATAGGTAAAATAATATTTCTACTTTGCTGTTATTATTAAACTATTATTAATTAATAATGAATCTTTATGTATATATTATAAAGAATTATTAAGATCTATGACATATATAACAATTTGGATTTTGGATTTTGCTGTGTTTTTAATAAAAGATATTCATTTATTATTTTTCACAATAAAAAAAGGTCATGATTTAGGTAAAAAAAAATTTTTTTTTATTATATTAGTAATGAAATTTATAATTCAAAAAAAAATAAAAATAGACTAAAAATATACAATTTGTTTCCAAATAAATTAAATTTTCAGGTTCAGAAAAGTCACATATTGTGTTATTTTATAATCCAATAACTAGAAATGCATTAAAGAATCTAATAATATTAGTTGGTCAATTCAAAGAAACTCTTTACAATCTTTCAAAACAAAATTCCAGTGATTCAGCAATTTATGAATTAAACAAATCTTTACAATTTTCATTTGATAAATGGCCACTAGATTTAGCATTTTTAAAATCTTTTATTGACGAATCTTTTGAAATTATTGAAAAGGCGATGAAAGGTACATTTGCAATTACTATTACTATAATTATTACAACTATCATTTTCATTATAATCATTATTATTATTAATTAGTAATTAATATAAATATAAATAAATCGTAGGTGTTCCTGATAAACAAAAAATTGAATATAAGGTGATCATAAGATCGAAGTTATCAATGTTTCCTTCATTACATGGAACTCTAAAAGATATAGAACAAAGTTATAAAACCAACTTTAGTGAAATTAATAAGGTTAAATTATATTATTATGATACGGAATGGATCAAATCTGATTCTGTGGACATTCTTTTGAAGTCTCGTACAATCAAAGAAAAAGCATGTACAAGGTAATTTAATTAAATCAAATCTATTATAAATTATAGATCGTTAATATTGATTTTTTATTTTTTATAATTAGATGTGGAAATTTTTCAGCAACAACAAGTTTGAATAATATGATCTGGACAAAAGGTTATTCAAGATCATGTATTTGTGGTGGCTATTGGATAGAAATTAAAGACAAACAATCTTAGAAAAAATTTGTTTTACAAGAATCTTTATAATTAATTAATTATTACTACTTTATATATAATATGTAATCACTTAAAATGAAATTACTCCGTCAGACACAGCTTTGTTAAATAAATGATATAGGAGATATTCATTATGAAAATCTTCTTCTATATATTAATTTAAAAAAATTATAAACGTTGTATATTTTTCATTAATTTCTATGTCTACTACCTATAAACGCAATGTATTACTATAACTATCGAGAAAGCCATAACCCTTTAATTAGCGAATGAAAACGGCCCGACATTTCCTTGGTTGAAAAAAATATCGAAATAATTTCCAAACTTGGTTAGTATACTCCGCTCTTTATCAGTCGTTCATTAAAATCTCGGACGTTGTTTGGAATAAAAAACCTATCATTGACAGCGAGCGACGTTCTTGCTTATAGGTATGATTTTCGTCTTCTGCTACCTTTTCCACCTGCCTTTTTGCGATATTCAGTTTTTATCATAGACAGAAGTTGAATGAACTGTTACACGGTCGTAAAAAAAATAAATAATAATAAAAATAATTGGTTTCATCGTATTGTATTCATTATTTTTTTGGAAAAGAAAAAACGATCAATTCTCATTTTTATATTTATTAGTACGTGAATTTGTGTATGTGTGCACTCTTATCTTATTATTATCTTCTCTCTAGTTACGAAGATAAAGTAGAATGATAAAATACCAATTTGTTATTTATTATTGTTATTAAAAAGAATTTTTTTTTTATCTGAAAAATTACCAAATTGAGTTAATTTTACATTATAAATTAAATTAAGAAAGAAAGAATGCATTATTTATTATCATAATTCATTGTTGGTTGCCGTTAATTAACTATTAATTAAAAAGTTTTATTACGTCTTTTAAAAATGAACAACAAATGCCAATTGTTTACTGTTACCTAATTTTCATATAATAGTAATAACAAACTATTTTCTAAACATTTAAAAAGCTAGTACTAAAACGGTATACCATATATACCTTTTTATATTTTTTACCAATTAATCCTCCTCGCATGATTTTTAATACTAATACAGGTACATAACACCATAACCATTACCGCACCCGTCATCACGTAATCATCATAACCGTTTGTTATTCATCAAACAAAATTAAATTTTGAAACAAATTATTTTTATTAAATACAATAATTACACGAATGCTATAATAATAAGACAAATGTTAAAGGAAAAATATTAATATTTACCAATTTCCTTTTATTGACTGTGTGCATCAAATAAATCAAAAACATAAATCCGAATTTCGTTTTTTTTCTTTTGTTTTTTTTTATATCTTTTCCTTTCTAAAAAAACCACCACCGCCACTACTACCTAAATTTCCCACTAAACACTTTAATCCTCACTTTCATTTATCTACCAACTATTATTACTGCCATTGCATAAAGACTACTTTTACGAGCTTTGTATAGCAAAAAATTTATATCATCACTAATATCATTTATATAATACACGCACACTAGTTTTCTTCTTCTTGCCGCTGGTTTTTTTTGAACTGTGTTCAAACGGCGATTATTTACGCAACTATTAATTATTTCTTCATCAAAAGAAAATTTTAAAGAATCCGCATCTTCGGATAATTGTAATAACAATACAACAACAGCAGCAGCAGCAGCAGCAACAACAACAACGAGAAGAAGAGCGTAGAAGATATTTAATTTGTAGAGCACAATTAAATATAATGTTTTTTAAATAGTTTAATTTGAAATTTATTTGTCTATTTGCTATTATCATTATCAATATCAATAATAATTTATTCACAAAGAAAAAAACATTTAGGAATGAAAAGTTTCCAACTCAAGAACTTGCATTTGATATGTTTTATGCATATATTTTTATTAATCGTTGCAAGCAAATCTACTTCGTCAACAAAAACACCCAGTGACAAAGATGATATAACATATAATTTGAGCATTTGGGAACCCCAATCAACGCCAACGCCAACGCCAACACCAACACCAACACCAACACCAACACCAACAAAACCAAAACCAAAACCAAAAGAAAAAAGCCCTAAACCTACAATAACGCCTCCAGCTGATGATATAATTACTACAACAAAGCCGCAGAAGGATTCAACATCAACGCCAACACCAACATCAACATCAACATCAACAACATCAACATCGCCATCACCAACAACACCACCTTCAGCAAATATCGACAATAATCCAGCCACTTCATCTGATATGATCGATAGCGATAACAATAAAAGAAATGGCTCAAATATTGGTCTAATAATAGGAATAACTATTGCAATAATTATAATTGGCATTTGTGCATTTGCTGGATTTTTGTGGCGTCGTAGAAGATTAAGACGTTTCTCAAGAGTTACAGTAAGCTTTTCGAAAATAAATTAAATAATAAATTATTATTATTATTATTATTATTTATATTAAAAAACAACATTTATTTTCTTCTTGTAGCCTATGGAAAGTTGGAAAATACTTAATGATCCGTCCACAGATTTTAGAAGATCATCAAGGATGCCAATGACGACAAATTATTCGCCTTCACAGCCATCAAAAACTTTTCGATCAAATCAAGAATTTCCAAGAGCGAAAAGATTAGTATATGATAGAGAAACTACATTACCGAAAATTCGACGATCTAATGATACATGGGAACAATATTTAAGTATGGTTATTCAGAGGCCGGAGCAACTTGCTAATAATGATAATTATAATAGTAATTATAACAGTGGTCATAGTAGTGATTATAACACTGGTTATAGTATTAATAATGGTTATATATATAAGTAAAGGGCAAAGTGAAAATAATCTCATTATCATTTATTCATTCATATTCATTCTGTACAATCTAATTAATATATATTAATGATTTCATTTTTACAACGAATATAATAATTTTTCAGTGTTTTATGCAACCTTTTTTGTAAAATGAACTAATTGGATGGCTTCATCTTACATTGTTAAGAACGCGTACAATTTAGGTACATACACCATTTAGAACAGCATGGTGACTGTGATTTTTTTGTCTATGCCAATTACAGTCTTTTCTTCCCTTCATAACTAGATCAACACTATCGCGAATATATTTTGATGATATGTCTTTTACAAAATAAAGGTTCATGATTTCATATAAGATGATTTTGCCCGTGTAATTAATTGATCTCCAAATATACGCGACTTTGACATTTATGAAAAGATGGTATTAACATTATCTGTATTTTATTCATTATGGTTTTTTTATTTGCTAATTCAATGACTCTTCAAGTGCACTTGTCTTTGAATCCAATCTCAACTTTTGATTACCTCCTATTTTTCATTCCCATTAAAGCTTTACCTTTAGGTAATTTTCTTTTATCCTATTAGAAATTCTGCACCATTTCGGTTCTCCAACCGTGTATAAGTGCTGCCAGATTGCTTGAACAAATTGCCGAATCTTTTGCTCTGAAATTTCTGCCGGAAAGCGATTTACAGCTTCATTATAGTTTTACACATTATTATTATAATATTTGTTATCTTCATCTTTTAAGTGTATTATTTGTTTGGAAGAGACTATTTTACAGCATTTGGAGGTGGTGGATTGCCAACAAAGTGAATTTAACGGAGCTAAATCTAATATCACAAGTTGAACATGCTTCAAGATGAAATATATCATGTCAACTAATAAATCTTAAACCCTATAATCGTAAATAATTATTATTTAGACATAGAAATTAAGAATATTTCTTTTCCTCCTAGATAAAATCATGTTGCACAGTGCTTTCCGACAAATTCAACAAATTTTATTAACATTAAACATTCAAAAAAACATTGTATTATGAATTACAAATCCCTCAATTTGTCTATTATTATTATCGTTTTTGCCTAATTGCCAAATATACTTATCTAAACCCTTCAAACTAATTTCCTGTCTACCTAATGATCTAGCATGTCTTAAAATGATCTCACATGAATCAATAGCTGCTGCACGTAAACAATATATTTCTTGTATGTTAGGATTCTCTTTATTATTTTCTTCAAAAAATTTTTTGAAATGAGATGGTAAATTCATTATATTAGCATGATAAAGTATTGCTGGAACCACATTATTGCCATCAATTGTAAGTTCATTGATATCTTCAAAATCAAAAACAGATGTTTTGTTATTATTTTGAAATCGATGGTAGAGACTTGAAGCAAGGAATTGTGCTTTTTTGAAAACATATACAGCTAAAAAAATTTTTATACAATGAATATTAAAATTTAATTGAATTTTGAAATAATAAATAAAATGAAATCTTACGTTGATCATTGATCATTGCCATGTCTCTAAACGTAGGAAAAGCTTTGACCAGCTAAAACATAATTACACTTTTTTTTTAAAAAAAAAAAGAAATATAGTATAAACACATAAAAAAGAATCATATCTGTTTACCTTTTCTACCATTTTAGCAGCTTTGGGTTTTTCTCCACCTCTTTCTGGTTTAGATGCATCGATTAAAAACATAGCAAAATCTTTATATCCACTGTCTTCTAGTATTTTCCCTGTATCATTCAGAACCCAAGTAATGATTTCTGCAAAAACTCGAGATTTTGATGGTTGTGATATTGTAATAGCTTGAATTGTTTTATGTGGCACATCAATTTGTAAAGGTATTTGGAACAATGAAGATACTTCTGAAAGTTTTATGGATCGTAATGCATGCGAACTCAAAGATTGTGATGTTATATGAAGGGACATGATTCCATATCTTATAGTGTCAAAAGCACCCTTAAATATCACAGACGTATATGTATTATTACACATCAGAGATGTCATTAATAATAATAATAATAATAATTACTATTATTATCATAATCAATATCATACATACACGTCCACATTCTTCGTGTAATTCTTGACGATATCCACTTCCAAAATTTAATAATCCAAACAAACCAATTATATTCAATTCTTGTTCTAGAGTATCAAATCTTAAAGGCATCTACAATGTTGAAATTAAAAAGGGCCTATCTTAATTGTTTAATAGAAGTTATATATAAATAAATAAAATATTTATGTATTTTTACATTTAATAAACCATTGTTTTCGGATAATTTATTATAGTGGTTTGAATCTATCTTCTGAATAAAGTTTATAACCGCTTCTTCATTTACCTATATGTGTATGTATGTATATATATGTGTGTGTTTGAATATTCCTTTTTTTAAAAAATTGTAAATAAATAATTAAATGTGTGTATATATACTTTTATGTCATTTTTTTTTGTAAGATCATGACATGAGGTTCGTACGGCTTGAATATAATTGCCTTGTGGGAAGGGAACCTTATTGTCTATAAATAATAATTGATTAATATTTGACATTTTTTTTCGTAAATAAAGAATAGCCAACACGGAATTATTAAAAAGGAAAAGGATCGTCGGTAAACTCTAATTTTGTCATAATAAAATAATTTGATT